GGTGGAGCCCTTCCGGGCACATTTCTGAGAGGGGGACTCCTCCCTCATGGCCCAGCCAGGTTTCAGTAATGCATGCCAGATCTGCCCCCTTATCAAGTATTAAGTCCCAGACGAGGGGAGCTTTATGAATCACAGACCTGGCATTTAGCAGCAACAACCTGAGACCAGGGCCCTGGCTTCTCTTGCCACCAGATCCTTGAGTTGAGCTTGCAGGGCCGGAACAAGGGATCTCTGTGATGTAGCGAGCCCTTCTTCCCCGGTAATGGCTAGCCCTGTAGCTCTCGCCATACCTGCCCCTCCCCATCGTGACCGGGATGCTCCGACCTGCCCCCATCCTCGTAGACCCCCCCTCTCTGAAGGCCCCCGCTTTTCCCGGCAGACCGTATCTATCATTCATTAAAGGACGAGAGGTAGGCTCGGGCCCCCTTCCACTTCTGCTTATGCACTCAGTGGACGAGGCACCAGGCTGCTCTCTCGGTCCTCTCATGTATACACACAGTCACTCCCTCATACATACCCCACTATGGTCATTTAAAAACATAGAAAAATACAATGGTTCAATAGTATAAAATTAATTAAATTGAGTGGGTTCATTCATCGTCATTCACACCATACATACTCCATCAACAAACAAACAATTGCGCAGATTTTAAAATTCCGCACAAGTGGATTCGTGCAGATTCGGAGGTTGGAACTGATGATGATGAAGGAGGGAGAGTTCCTCACTCCCTCTTCCCCCTTGTAAGTCCGGAAAGTACAAAAGGGGCCCGAGGGCCCAGAGTCTAAAATGGTTGGAGAGGTTGCAGGGGGAGGGGGGGTAGGCGCCAGTTTGAAAGATGGTAAATTCACGGCTTCACCCCCCACTGCTTCTTGTCGTTGACTCAAAAGTGGCGCTGTCGAAGATGGTACCACTGAGGGAGCAGCAGATGGCGCCAGCCGCACTGATCGTAGTAAAACGAGCAAAATGTCGGCAGCAAAGTATCAGGCAGCACGAAAGCCCTGCAGCGGCAACAACAAAGCAAAAAGAAGGCCGCACCAAGAGAGAAGGAGCGGGGGAGGCCTAGAAGAACTGCGGTGGCAGCAAAAGACCAGCCGCCCAGTCCCGGCACCCATTGTTGTAACGACTCACCGCCCCATCGTCGGGGGGAGGCGCAGACCTCCGCCCAGCACAGGTCCAGCAGGTCCAGCACAGGTCCAGAGTCCCCCAATAGCAGTAGACTTATATACCTCTTCATAGGCCTTTCAGGCCTCTCTAAGCGGTTTACAGAGAGTCAGCATATTGCCCCCAACAATCTGGGTCNAGGACACTTTCTATGGTGGACCGATAGAAAGAGGTCATCAGCCGTTGGTCCACCTGATTTTTTTGTAGGACTCTAAGGAAATGAAATCTCTGTTGGGCCTTTCCAATCACCAGAGACAGGTTATTTTTCCAGGTGAGATCTTGACTAAGAAGCACTCCCAAGAATTTAAAAAAGGAAACCCTCTCCACACAACCCCCCTTGATATATAGTGGGGGTAGGTTCCTCTCTGTGCTTCCGGAAATCTAGCACCATCTCCTTTGTCTTACTAGTATTTAGTTGTAAGTTGTTTCTTGAGCACCATGCGGATATCTTCTGGACTTCTTCCTTGTATGCTGATTCGTCCCCTCCAGTTATGAGACCCAGCACTATTGTGTTGTCTGCAAACTTTATTATGATGTTAGATGAATGTATGTTTAGAGAAAATATAGTCACCATGAAACTGCCTTTATTTAGATTTTTTCCTAGCTCTTGTTAAAGAAATTGTGAATTAGAGATTGCATACATATTGTAAAATTATGAGAGGCTTTTTCCTGTGACATTTTAATAGGTCATTAATAGGACACAATTAACTCATTTCAAACTCTTAAATGATTGGATCTTGATAGTTTTGGGCATGAGAAAAAAAGTCATAAATATATGACTTCCTTTACCTCTCCATTACTTCTGATTGCATTTCCAATATCTTGGATTGACTATTTCCCCCACTTCTCCCAATTAAAAATATTTATTGATCTATGATATTAAAAAGTTTGTTAAAAATAAGCAATGAATTGAAAATAAAACATTTTAAAAAAACTATTTATTAGTGTTTTTAGCTATAGTAGAAGGTAATACAAGCATCCATAAAGGTTCTGATGCAATTGAGCGCTTTTTGTCATTCCATATCTCGTAGAAGTCAAACACACAAGTTGACTCTTGCCCTGTGATTTCTACATGAGAGGAAGCAATTTTTCAACCTTGCATTATCTGGAGGAGTTCAGATCTTTTTTATTGTTTGTTCAAAAAAACTATGGTTAGAGTTCAAAAGTTTTTACACACACAAACACACACACACACACACTTTTTATTAACTGTGATTTGTTATGCTATCTGTGCTAATATACTTGGTTAACAATTGTTTCATACCAGTCAAAATACAATTAGTGGAACGGAGTACCTTGTGTGTTGTATATTTCAAATACAAAAAACTCTGGGTATGTCAAGTATTCTATCATAGGAAATCTGTGCCTGTTTAAATAACTTTGGTTAAAATTAATTGTATTTTATTTTCCAGACCCAGAACTGTTGTTAATTAAGAATGGAAGTGAAAGCTTCCAATTGCCTCCTCTTGGCCATCTGGAAGGAGGAGGATAGGACTGTGCAAACCTGAAGTTTGCTATGGCTTGTTTCTTTTTCATGCACGTGTTTACAACAAAGTTCCCTGAAGTTGGAATACAGTCTTGATTGTGCCTCCCAGATCTGTTTAATGGAAATAGAAAAGAAAATAAAAAGTGCAAAATACATGTAGTGGACTATCTTAAGTGAGTTTCTTAAGTATGTATTTGCGATTTACTGTCTGGAAGAACTTATTCTGACTTTTTTTTTTACTATTTCGATGAAATTCCGGGGTCTGTCAAAATACTGTAGCATACACTGAAAGCATATATTGTTAGCTTGGACTTATGCATCTGTTTTTGAATAAATGAAAGATTGGGATTGGCAAGGAACAAGGAATTCATATTTATTTATTATTCATTATAGCAATAGCACTAACATTTATATACTGCTTCATGGTGCTTTACAGCCTAAGTGGTTTACAAAGCGGTTTACAGAGTCAGCATATTGCCCCCAACAATCTGTGTCCTCATTTTATCGATCTTGGAAGGATGGAAGGCAGAGTCAACCTTGAGCAGGTCAGGATCAAACTCCTGGAGTGAGCAGTGAGTGAGCCTGCAATACTGCACCAGCACAGCTCTGTGCATTGATACATATACATTGTATACATTGTATAGAGTAAGGCATCTATAGAGGTCATGCATTCACTGATATACAAATTTAAGTAAAATATCATCATACGTATAACTATATCTATACAGGCAGTATTCGGCTTACGATCACAATTGAGCCCAAAATTTCTGTTGTTAACTGAGAGATTTGTTAAGTGAGTTTTGCCTCATTCTATGACCTTTCTTGCCTCAATTGTTAAGTGAATCACTGCAGTTGATAAGTTAGTAACTCGGTTGTTAAGTGAATCTGGCTTCCTCATTGACTTTGCTTGTAGAAGGTCACAAAAAGAAAAACCAGAAAGTCCAGTTGCTTCATAGACTTATCTTTCATAAAATAGAAGAAGGTGATGTTTCCAGATGGCTCAGTATTTGTCCCCAAAACATTTCTTATGAAGTAAGCAATTAATCCTAGTTCCTAATGTTGTTTGGATTTCTGGGTACTATGTTTTTGGTTGAACTATTTTTGACTAAAATGTATAGAATTTAAAATTACAGAAACCTGAGGACTAGATTTTGAGATTTTATTCAAACATGAAAAGAATCCTTAATGTTGTATATCTTTTTATTTTTATATTGCAATAAAGACTGTTTTCCAGATGTTAATAATTTCCAAGATGAAAAGTGGGCTGGAGAGGGAAGCTAGAATTTATTTTTGTTTAATCAAGGGATAATGGTAAAAGTTCAGAATTATTTTCTGGAATTTGAACATACTATAAATGGTGATGCTGCAATAGCTGCTCTTAAATGAGGAGAAAAATATTCTATTGTTTAAAAGCGAAGGTTTTTTCAGTTCAGTGAATGATTGCCTTTATCTTCACATGGGGACAAAAGATTGATACTGTCTGAAGAGAAATGAGTACTATTTTTAAGGTAAAATAATGTATTTAGTATTTTAATTTTAATCAAACTGATTGATCAAAATTGAAAGCCATATGTTAGAGAAAGTTTACCTCAGTCCTTAGCTATTCCCCACTATGTAAGTTACTCTCTTTCTTAAATATAGACGTTATAATACCGTATTGTTGAAATTTGTGAAACAGCCAATTATTACTAATGTATCTTTACACCCTATGACCTATGTTCCAAGGCAGTGTTTTTCAACCTTTTTTGTGCAAAGGCACACTTTTTTCATGAAAAAAATCACGAGGCACACCACCATTAGAAAATGTTAAAAATTTTNTTTGCTGTAAGAGTTTTGTTTTTGCATTTGCTGTGTAACTTTTTGCCAGAGACTTTATCTACGTTTATTTTGGGCTCGCAGCCAGCTTGAGCCAGATATTTCCTTTGAAGTTCTGTCTGGCTGTCGTTTGTGAACGAGCGAAGAGGGGGGTCAGAACAATAAAATAAACTGGAATAAATTGTAATCTGGGACTTAGGGAAAAGACATATAAATCTTATTAATAAATTTCTTTTTACAGCTGGTTATAAAGGTATAATCTCTTGGGCCTGAGGAGAGGAGAGGTGAGATAAATAGTAAATAATTTTTTGCTAACTACAATAATAACAAGGAAATGTTAATGGATAATATTTAATGATGTATACAGGCGTGTTGTACTAGTAAAAGCAAATTGGACAGAAGCGTTAATTTGTGAGTTGCGGGGGAAAGAAGGAGAGGAAATGTTAGATATCCTACTAGCTGACTCTTTTTTAGAATATGTTATAAAGATGTAAAGTTATGGCAGACTCATTGAGATTGCGAAAGTATGCCAGTAGGTAGTTGTGTCTTCAAATATAAATGATTTTAGATAAAAATACCTTTAAGTAACTGTAATCAAATGAAAATTGTGGTACAGTGATAGTAAAATATATAAATTCTAAAATGTACAACTTAATTTGAATGAAGTATATGCAATTATTGTGGAAGAAACGCACGAAATGTATCTGTAACCAATTGACATGCTTTCTACAAGATGTGACGAAAGCTGATTCTTTTTTTTCTTATGTTTTTGTTTTATAAAAACAATTTTTTTAAAAAAAATAGTCATCTCTCAGGTCCATTCTCCTGGGGATCAGGCGGGGCGGGGCAACTTCATGGCATCTGTAGACTTGATGGAAGCGCACATCCCAATCCTATCTGCCCATCGCAGATTCCTCCATTTCTACCACAAGGGGCACCACTTCGAGTACAGGGCTCTCCCATTCAGTCTAGCCTCTGCCCCGCACACGTTCACAAAGGTCCTGGCAGCATTGGCGGCTCACCTGTGATTCCACCCGGTGAGACTCCAATGTTACCTAGACGGCGTGCTCATTCAGGCCCAATCACGCACGCAGGTAATTCACAACCTGAATCTGATAATCCACATATTGCAGTCCCTGGGGTTCTCTGTCAACTTCCCCAAGAGCCATCTGTCACCCTCGATGAGAATCCTTCATCTAGGTACAGTAATAGACTCTGTAGCAGGACTTGTTCGACTTTCTTCAGAATGTCTCACAAATCTTCAAACCTTGGCACGTCATGTCCGTGCAAGTCGGTCAGTTTCCATCCTGACATTGGTCCACTTGCTGGGCAAGATGGTGTCATGCATAGGGATAGTGCCCTGGGCCTGTCTTCATTCTCAGCCACTCCAAAGGACACTCATCCCTTATCAACGCCAGGGCATGAGCAACTCGTTGCGGACAGTCACTCTATCACCGGGCCTCCACTGGTTCTTAGGGTGGTGGTCATCTCCGGTCCTGCGTCACGGGTTCAACATTTGGGAGCCGGATCATATCACGATTATGGCGGATGCGAGCCTTTATGGCAGGGGGGCCCTGTTGGAATCCAAACTGGTGCAGGGTTGTTGGACAAACTCAGACCTGCGCCATAATATAAACTGGCTACAACTGAAGGAGCCCGACTAGCCCTCCTTCATGAGCCAAGGTGGCGCAGTGGTTAAATGCAGCACTGCAGGCTACTGCTAGATCAGCAGG